GTGCGTGCGTGCGTGTGTGCGTGTGTGCGTGCGTGCGTGCGTGTGTGTGTGCGCGTGTGTGTGCGCGCGCGTGCTTGAATGTGTGTGTATATGCGTGCGTGCGTGCATGTGTGTATATGTGTATGTTTTTGTCCGGTTTTCAGATACTCCAGAAAATGTTATTAAATCTGGACAACTGTTATAAAATCGCTAACATGAGAGTGGAGGGCTTCGTTTGCAGGACTAACCTTCCATCGAACACGGCCTTCCGTGGGTTCGGTGCACCTCAGGGCATCATGGTCATGGAGGTGTGCATCACACAGGTCGCCGACACGCTGGGAATCCCGCCGGAGCAGGTTAGTCATCAGGTGGCGGGAGTGATTACATGAGAAAGCTCTCGAACTATATGCGCACGCGCAGACTGGCATGCAGACGCACATTGTATGCTTAGGCACAGGAACAGGCACACGCACGCGCGCACGCGCACACACGCGCGCACGCGCACACACGCACGCGCGCACACGCGCGCACGCGCACACACGCACGCACGCGCGCACACACGCGCGCACACATTTCGCGCATATCCTATGCATTCTTCATAAACGTAATTAAAACGTTAATCGTAGGGTAGATCCCCAGCACACGCATTAATACGTCACGCATTTAAGTACCGTCATTCGAAATACGATAGCAATATACCTCTTTATTCTAGGTGAGAGAGAAGAATTTCTACAAGGAAGGAGATCTGACTCACTATAAGCTACCTATGGAGAACATCACAGTGACTAGATGTTGGCAGGAATGTCAAACCAAGAGTGACCTTCAGCAACGGATTGACGCCGTAAAGACATTTAACGGGTATCACGGCTGTTAATGTTTCCTCAATTACTTGCTGTTGTTTATCAATGAAATTGGATTCTTATTTAGGTAGCTTTAATCGTCTTGCTTATATCCTATATCATACGCTGATGCTATGCATGATTGATATCACAATATATTATATTTCTTAGCGTATTTTGAAGGAAATATTATGCATAGGGTAGTGAATGTATTAATTTTGCGTTGAACTTTTGCGTTGTGTTTTCTAGGCAGCATCGATGGAGGAAGCGAGGAATTAGTATGATAAGCGCGAAATTGGGGATAGCCTTTACAAACAAATTTTGTAATCAGGTATAATAAGTAGCAGTATACACACTGCAATCTCATCATATGACTATTGTCTATTATATATTACTATATAAGTAGTACTCGCCCGCCTCTATTATAGGATAATAAGTAACTATGTAAACATAAATAAATAAATAAATATTTATTTATTTATTGATGTGTACATATTTATTATTATATAATAGAGTAGGCGCGCGAGTGAGTATAGGCAACCAGACAGGCACGCAGATAACTCGACAACTGAACAAATTAACTGATTGGTGTAAATTTATGACTGGATGATGATTTCCTATAGGGTGGCGCTCTCGTGCTAATATACACGGATGGGTCTGTGCTCATATCCCACGGTGGCACCGAGATGGGACAAGTATGGGCACAATATGAGGAAGAAGTTATACTACAGTTGGGTGATGAGGAAGTGGGCGAGTGAAGAGATGCACGACATAGAGGAAGATATGCACAGGCTGTTAAACTGGAACGCGATCCAAAGTATGGACAGCAGTTAGTGCTCGTACGAAACATTATCGGTGAGGAGGCCATGGGTTAGATGAAAGTATTAGGGCCTGGATGACGTAGCGATTATCTATGGTAGTTGTGTCACCGACGATAGTTTTTCAATATCGAATAGACATGGAGATTGATAGATCATGTACTGATTAATCTGCATCATTCTGGTGAAGACGGTTTACATTTCGCATAGTTTCACACCATTGTGCAGTGATTGGTAGCAAATGGCGTGCGACTCATAATTCTAGTGACGGGAAGTTTTGAATGAGTCAGACGCTTATTCTTATAATTGCATATTTAAGCGCAAAGTAGTACCATCAGGTCCGTTTGGTTTATTGGTGTACTTTAGACCTTAGATCTGGTGTAAAGCTCTAGCAGCGTAGAAGGGAGAACAACTAGATGAGGGGATGAATTCATGGACACGATGTGATTGTGAGATTAGTGATAAGGAAGTCTGATCATTATAGCATAATATAATTAAAGAGGAGAAAAAAAGAGTAAAGATAAAATAAGAGCGATTTCCGCAATACTTCATCCGGTGGCAATGTATTACGGATCGTATAATTTTGCCGACTATAAAAGAAACAAGCAATTTTTCTAAAGCTGGGTTAATCAGGCAGCCGATGATCGCTCATTGCCGTAGATCGGAAGGCTGAGAGAGGATGCTACTAAGACGGTGTACGCTTATAGCTCGGTATTTGTACGGTAGCAGTCTCACTGGGATGGAGGATCGGTCTGTAGAATGTCCAGGCATTGCCTTGCAAGTGGAGCCACGTAGACGAGATTGTCTTACATCTGATATTACATTATTTGCATCGTAGACCGTTGACAGAAACACACATGCAGCGCGCCGCATGGCGCACACACAGCACGCGATGCGCGCAACACACACACACTACACCACAAAGCACGACGCACGCACTCACGCACGCCGCACGCATACTCGCTAAACGCACGCACGCACGCACAGCACGCACACGCACAACACAAACGCAGCGCACGCACGCAAACACAAACACGCACGCAACCTTACACACACAAGGCAGCAGCGACGCACTGGCGAACGCACGCACTTCCTCATCGCAAGCCACCACACAACACATCCACCTCACGCACTTCCTCCTCTCACTCATTGTACTGCACTCCATCACCCCCCCACATCACACAGCTCACCACCTCCACACAAACACCACACATCACCAAGTATCACCATCTAGCGGGTGCGCATCTGCGTGTTAACCTGTTATCATCTCGTGTGGAGGCCATTC